CGCATTTTCTCGTCGACGAAAACGTGAAGTCACGGACGGACGAGCACAATTGTGCATTTTTTCCATAAATGAGAAAATGCGCCAATAAGATAAAAATTAGACAAATACTCGTGTTCACTTTGCAGGTTTTTTCACGATCATATTGGGCTGGGTGGCTCAGTGGTAACGGTCAACTTGATTGGAGCCGTAATTTGCGGTTTCGAGGCTTGCAACTAGCTGTAAAATTTCTGCTGCGCCTAGATTTGAAAACGCTATATCTTTTTACGTCCCTGTTTGTAATTAATTTTTCTGAGAAATTTTAAAAATAAGTGATTAAATGATTATTAAGTATAAGCTCTCGAGTCCCGCTGTTGCCACCTGTACCTCGGCCTGAGGCGGGGTGAGCTAGAAGGGCCCACACGTAGCCAGGCTACAGAGGAGGATCAGCTCATGGATGTAACAGCGGCGTCAACGTTAGTTATTCCGTTATGCCTGTTGCCGATTCTGGACATCGAAGAATTTTCACTGCTTGTTGCAGTATCCGAACATGCAACTCACTGCTCCAATTTTGCTGTGATTTGCCACCGCCCGGCCTCCTCATTTATCCAGAACGGTCACAGGTTGCTGGATGTAACCCGCAACTCACTGGTACAATCTTCGTACTCAGAACGGTAACCACTGAGCCATCCTACCAACCCTGGCCTGATGACCTGCAGCTGGCAAGTCGGACGCCGTTTATCCAGTGTCCCAAGAGGGGAGACCCAAAAAGAAATGCTTTGGAGCTCCTGATCTTTTGTTATGGCGTCAACTTTTCCCTCGTAAAAACACGTATCCAATAAATTCTGGGATGACCTCAATGACCGATAAAGTACTTGGAATAGGGAAGTTATTGCTCGTCATGTATCTTTTGGTCATTAAAGATTTTCGATTTAATTTTATTTTACAGCGTGCTTAATTAGATTTCACTCACGCGGTTCGAACCCAAAACTCGCTGCTAAAATCTGTCATTCATATACCACTGAAGATGCCAAAACTTTAAGGTTCGCTAAAATTGAATTTCTCTCGTGACCAATTGGCGGGAAATTTGTTAACTCTAAACTCTGGTTAGAGTGAACATGTCTCTACGTTGTATAAGTGTCGTACATCGCCCTGCTTCTAAGTTAGTTACTGCCATGGGCGCCTGAGTTGACGACGAGCAGCTGCCATGCACCCGAGCTACCGTCTCCGACATTGAGAGACGATGAGGAACTAAAGAAGTTTCTGCATTTTATAAATTATTTATTTATTATTTAAGAAGTATCAACAGATTTTTTCATCGTCCCTAACGCAACCTTGTACTTCAAATACGCGTTTCTCCTATGCCATAGACCGCAATCGGAATCATGCAAGTCTAAATATGGCTGAGATATCTAGATCGTGCTGTGCTCAAATTATATTAAATTGGTCTGTCATTGAAATGAAAACTGAAACCTAGTAGTATACATATCTTTTTCGCCCTTTATCGTTTAGTAAACGTACCTAAATTATTAGTCTTGTTTCAGTATAAAATTTTCATGTGGATACATCCTGGCATTCCTTCATGGCTTCCGTGTCTCAAGTTCCATTAAACTTAGTGATGACATTCCAAATATTAAAAAAAAACTGGGGAATAAAATTTTTTTGTACAAAAGTTCTTTTTATTTGTACGACAGTCGACTGTTGTATACCAGACACATGTTGGGAGATGTGCAGAGCTATTACAAAAATATGGTGCATGCTATAGTGTATCAAAGAATTGCTGTTTGTCGTGGCAATATTGACTGTTTGTAATAGGATTGCTGAAAGGGATTCCCGATTTGAGGAACTAAACGTTTCCATCATCACATTAACAAATAGGTTTAAGTACGAAGCATTTCTACGGGGCAATAGACCTCACTATTCTATGTATGACTATTTGCATTCTCACTAATCCTATAAAACATTCTACGACTTTATGATGAGGTTCGCTAGTATATTTTAGTTGCACCACTAATATGATAGCTTAGGCAAGTCTCTGTTGTTATACTCATACAGGCACTTCAAAATACTTTCTACGTCTGGACATACAGACGCTTGAAAGTACTTCATACATCTGGACATTTAGATGCTTGAAGATGTAGATCATACGTGATCGTCCAGTCATTTAGACGCCTGAAAATACATCATACGTCTGGGTCATAGACACTTCAAGATACTTCATACGTCTGAACCTTAAGACGCTTGAAGATATTCTTCATACGTCTGAACATTTAAATGCCTGAAGATACATCATACGTCTGGTTCCATAGACGCTTCAAAATACTTCATACGTCTGGATTGCACACATTATTTCGTATATACCTTTTAAAACATTAGATGGACTAACATTATATGACATCCGAGATAGTTAGAATTAAAGATTGTTATCGAATTAAAAATAATGAACATATATGGCAATTCTTTGTACCCAACATACCATGAATAATATAAATGTTTCTGCCCTGAAGTTTTTCATAGAGACAAACCGTCTACCACGAGCAGGCATATCAAGCGCATGTACGACAGTTGGGGGCACAACCATGGGCCACAAATTTAACTCTTAATTAAATAAGTAAGCCCTGTAGCCAACGCCCTGTCTCATCATGCAGTAACTTTACTTAACCTCAGAACTATAAGCCGCTGAATTCTATACTCTGGAATACCGTAATCCAGAACAGTGACACACTGCTTAAAGATAATAGCGCCGTAGGTCTTCAGCCAATACTTAAGCATGCTCGCTCATGAGCAGGCAGTTCTGCAAACGGTTGCACATACTCTGGCCTAACCATTTTAATTTTTTATAATCTTTTGAAAGCATTAGCTTTTATAATAGCAGTATCGTTAGGCTAATATTTGCAAACTGTGGCCGAAAAGTTGACATCTATTAATGAAATGTTGGCATAATCACAAGCCATCAATCACAATGATTTTATAGACATAATTTTTCCTTCGAAGCACCGATGTGGCTATTTCTGGACTTTAAGTTTGACAAATAGATACGAGTGTTCCATTAAGATTACATTAGGCACTATTACACGTTTCACGTAAAATATTTAACAAACTTCCTATTCATAATTTATTTTACATTAGAGTAAAATTGTTCATATTTACATGATATATACATTATTATAATAGTAAAGTAACCCTGTTCAAACTCATATGAATTAGGTAAATAGTTTAAAACTTCACACTGTTGAACAGTACCCGCGCGTGCGGCTGCAAGTGACACAGATTGGCTGCCAGAGGCGTTATCAATAAATAAATTTTTTTGCATCCTTGCTTTGAAGTTCGTCATTTCCAATAAATTATTTGTTTTAAATTTTCATTTCTTTGATCAATTGTCTCACTTTTAGCCAAAATGATACAATTATCCTCAAATGCCTTTAGTAACGCGCAATTATAAACTGATTTCAACTTTTATTTGTAATACAATTTATACGTTCTGTTTGTGATTGTCCAGTGTCTTTGTTGTTGCGGCAGAATATTGATTATTCTCTTGGATAAATTTCGTTATAAAACGAGTCTAAGAATTTCTTGAACGCCGTGGATTTGTTACAAGACCGTGACGTTCCATTCATCCTCGTGTGTAGATGTCGTACAGTGCCGGCAGCGTCACACTTGGATGACGTCATAGCTCGTTTTCGAACAGTAGTATTCTGCAGCGTTGAGATTCAATTAGGAATCTAAATGTAGTTCTTTCAACAAGTTAAATTGCGTGTTAAGAAACCTGGCCAAAATTTTACGCCGGGATTTAGACAAAGGTGCCTAATTTTACCTATTCATTTTTTTAGCTCTTTTATAATCTTGCTAGGCCATGCCTCGCCGCCGTTGAGTCGTGGTGAGATGAGCAGGAATGAACTCCGTGGGTTTGAACACGGTTGGTGCCAGACGCTCAGGAAGACTTGTATTCCCGCAGACCATTGGCTAGCTGTTCCACCCGAACTGTTGAAGAACAAATTAATGTCAGTATCAATACTGCACGTGTCGGAGATACACAATTAAATTATATAGAATGATTCGCACCAATTGGCGTAAATAACATGACAAAATTGAGTAAAAATCATTTTATGTGCACCAATTTGATCGAAAGATTGTTGCTTACCTTCATGTATATCAGCTTGCAGTAATCCCCCCATGAATTTTTTTACAAAATCGGACAGTCTGCTTCTCATGATGTCTGAAAACTCCTCATCTTCTTTGAGCTCTGGAGCTGCCGTGTCTTCGGCTGCCCCGCTGCCATTGGCCGATGTAAGCCGCGCTGCCATTGGCTGGATGGGGACTGCGTTAGGCGGGTAGAGGTGAGTCCTGATGAACCTTGCCAAGGAGTCTCTAGCACTCTGGAATTTAATAGTAGCTGCCATTGGCTGGATGGGGACTGCGTTAGGCGGGTAGAGGTGAGTCCTGATGAACCTTGCCAAGGAGTCTCTAGCACTCTGAAATTTAATAGTTTCTCACAATAATTGTGACTTAAACTGCGCAATTCAACAATTTATTGAATTTATTGCCACCTGCACTCAGGAAATCATTGAATTGTTGAATTTATTGTAACTGGCACTCCGTAATTCAATGGGTTTTTGCATTCTTATGACTTGCCTTCTAGAAAACAATGGGTTGTAGAAGTTTTTTAATTTCTCTATGGAATCAATGGGTTATTGAATTTGTTGGGACTTACAGCAACTTTTATGCGTTTTGGTGGCAAAATTTCATAACTTTCAAATCTGAGTGGAAACAAATATTCTCATATTGCTCTAATATATGACTTGGAAATTTGCAAACATGTTTATTGTTAAGCAAGGAGCTTCATATACGAATGCTGCCCAAGGCTTTTTTGCACAGACATTCTATACAATCCCATCAGGCAATGGCGCAAACGTATATACAATGACGTNGGGAGATATGGCCCCTGAAATCTAACAAAAATAATGTTTTTTAATACCATCTCTCTGAATTTATACATTTATATCAATTATGAATACAATCCGCCCTTACTCACCCTTGGCTTCGGCGTCGTCGGCTTCGTCATCCTCCAGGATTTGCCGTTCGATTTCCCTTATCAAGTCCATGGACTTGGCGGCCGAGGAATCGGATGCGGTGGTCGGGGGACTTACGATGATGTTTGTGTCTTCCCCGGCCGTTGGGGACTGGCGGGTCACTTTACTGTAGCCCGATTTCAGTTTCGCTTCAGTCTCCACGTTCGGTTTTTTCCCGGCCTTTGTCCCGTTCGAAGATTCGAATATTTCAGGATTTCGGGAATCATTTTCAGGATTTCGGGACTCTGTTTGAGTTGGCGATTCGTTTTCGCGGTTTTGGGAATCGGTCTCGGGACTGCTAGACTCTACGTCGAAATTTTGTGTTTCTGAATCGACATTTCGTGAATCAATTTCAAAATTTTCTGCATCGCTGTCGGGACCGAGAACCCAAGATTTGGTGGTTTTCACGCCAGTTTCGGGGCTTTGGTTTTCCTGCTGCCGGATTTTTTGCTGAAGTAGAAGTAGTTTTTGTTGCTGGTATGTGTGTGGGGCGACGATGGCTGACAGTTCGAGGGTGGTAGGTAGACTGGTAGGTAGACTGGTAGATAGCGAGGTAGATGCCAGTAACGCCAGCACCACACTCATCAACCGCTGAGAGCAAAATAATTAATTTTGAAACCATGTAAAATATTTGAAGTAACGCATTAATTATCCTGAAAATTAAAATAATATAAACATTTATCGTTAATTTATCAACAGAATTTAAGTGTCCAGTACAATTACACTTATTAATCAAGCAAATTAATTCTCCTTTGAAATCAAGTAAAATTATTGAAATAACGCATTAATCATCCTAAAAAATGAAATAATTAAAAACAGTTATCGTTGATTTATCGCCAAAATTTATTTATACAATACAATTAGTTTTAATTCATCAATATAAATAAAATAATCATGGCAGTTGGCGTTAATTCAACCCCACATTCGTCTCTAATATAAGGAATAACAAATTTTATTTGCGTTACTCACCTCAAAAGTCCTCGACATTTTGTTCTCCTGTTGTCTTTTGTTTAAGTTTAGCTTTCAAAATTAGCACCTCTTTTGTGACTCGCTAAATATTGACCTTTGTAGCAATCTAAAGCTTTCTCTGTAATAAAATTGTTATTTAAATTATATATATGGAAGTCAATTAGTGGCATGATTATTACTAGTGGAATTATATGTTCGTTAACTAGTGGTATTACTAGTCACGTAACTAGTTACGCCATTGTTTTGATTACTAGTGACGTCATTAGTCTAGTAACTAGTGACGTCAATAGTCGGATAACTAGTGACCTCAATAGTCAGATAACTAGTGACATCACTTGTCTGATTACTAGTGACGTTATTAATCTAGTAACTAACGACATTACTAGTCTCATTACTAGTGACGTTATTAGTCTGGTAGCTAACGACATTGCCAGTCTCGTAACTAGTGTCAGGTATGTAAGTAGCAACTAGTGTAACTAGTGTCGTAGATCAAGGCTCGTGTCGGGGCCAGACTCTGGACAGACCCAAGCTACGCTGGATTATGCAGCCCTAAAGGCCAAGCAGTGCAGGGTTCAAGGCCAATTAAGGAGGGGTGGTAAGGGGGCGGGTAAACAGCGGCTAAACAGTGGCTAAACAGCGGGTAAACAGCAGCTAAACAGCGGTTAAATAGCAGCTAAACAGTATCGGAAAAAGGGGTGGTAAGGGGGCGGGTAAACAGCAGCTAAACAGCAGCCAAACAGCAGCTAAACAGCAGCTAAACAGCGGGTAAACAGCAGCTAAACAGCAGCTAAACAGCAGCTAAACAACAGCTAAACAGCGGGTAAACAGCAGCTAAACAGCAGCTAAACAGCGGGTAAACAGCAGCTAAACAGCAGCTAAACAGCGGCTAAACAGTGGCGGAAAAAACCCAAGCCGAGCATTGAATGAATGGTGGCAGAAGTGCTTGTTGAAAAAAAAGTTTCACTTCTTTTTAGCGGAAAAATGACTAAACAAATTCATTGTTTCGTTGATAAAATGAATTGAAGAAAAAAGAATAGGTGTAAAAAATGTTCGTGTAAAAAGTAGCTTGACATACAGACGAGTAGGCAGAGGTCGGGGTTGATTAAAGGTTAATTTGGTCGCCATTTTTTTCTTTAATGGCTGACTTAAAATTCTTTATTGCTTATAAAGACGATATTTAGTCCTTATATTAAAACAAGGCTTATATACATTAGACTTATGGCAACGCTGTTTGATTAACTTTAGACAAGGTAACGCTGACAGATTAACATTAGACTAATGGCAACGCTGATAGGTTAACTTTAGACTTATGGCAACGCTGACAGGTTAACTTTAGACTTATGGCAACGCTGGCAGGTTAACTTTAGACTTATGGCAACGCTGACAGGTTAACTTTAGACTTACGGCAACCCTATAAATTTCATTTATGACTCGTAGCAACATTATTAATCTTACAAATAAATTATAGTAACACTAATAAGTTTACATATGGCTTATATTTATAGTATTGACTTTACAAATGACTAAGGAATAAAACTAAGGACCACCTTGTGGCTGCTAAGGAGCCCTGTAGTTTTTATCGTCCTTATCTCCACGTCCTTAAGGACACTTCAAGGACTTAGATTCAAGGCCAGACTGCATTCAAGGACTGATTAGGGGGGAAATATCGAAGTCTTGCTTATTTCAAAGGTGAATATATTAATACAATATACATATATTAAAAAATATATTATTACAAATATATATTCCATAAATAACTAGTAACTAGTTATCAGTATAATAACTAGTTATTATATTATGTGTCTCCATATATTATTAATATATTAATACAAATATATATTGGAAAATATATATTAGTTAAGTGTTAAAGTTATATCACATTAGTGCCTGATATGCAGCCATGATATGCAGCCATGATATGCAGCCATGATATGCAGCCATGCAGCCATGATATGCAGCCATGCAGCTGTCTCTTATACACATCTAGATGTGTATAAGAGACAGGATTAACTTTAGACTTATGGCAACGCTGACAGATTAACTTTAGACTTATGGCAACGCTGACAGATTAACTTTAGACTTATGGCAATGCTGACAGATTAATTATAAACTTATGGCAACCCTATAAATTTCATTTATGACTCGTAGCAACATTATTAATCTTACAAATAAATTATAGTAACACTAATAAGTTTACATATGACTTATATTTAAACTATTTATATAAGTTTGATATTAGACTTATATCCTTATATCAAAATTAATATTTAAACTTATTTTATTATATGTATATATTTATATATATACATATGACTTATATTTACATTATTAATCATACATTTGACTAAGGAATATAACTAAGGACCGCTTTGTGGCAGCTAAGGAGCCCTCAAGTTTTTAACGTCCTTATCTCCACGTCCTTAGGGACACTTCAAGGACTTTGATTCAAGGCCAGACTGCATTCAAGGACTGATTACGAGGGAAATGTCGCAGTCTTGCATATTTCAATAGTAAATATATTAATACAATATATATTATGCAAATGTATTAATACAAATGTATATTATATAAATAACTGGTAAATAGTTATTAGTATAATAACTAGTTAATATATTATGTGTCTCTATATACTATTAGTATATTAATAAAAATATAATAATATAAATATATATTATAAAAATGTATTAATATAAATATATATTTGTAAATATATTTTAGTTAAGTGTTAAAGTTATACCACATTAGTGCTTGATATGCAGCCATGATATGCAGCCATGATATGCAGCCATGATATGCAGCCATGATATGCAGCCATGATATGCAGTCATGATATTCAGCCATGATATTATGTATATTTTTCAAAGTTTGTGTGTTTGTTTGCGTGTGTTTTGTATGTTGTATATTGCCTGAACCTGAAAATTTATTCATAAAGGCAAAATTATTAAATTAAATAGTTTTATCATAGAATATCTATTTCTATATTTAATTAAACAGATGAAAATAATTTTTATACATATTGAAACGAGAGCCAAATATGAGTTCTACGTTCAATGTAATATAAGATTTGAATGGTTACTTATTTAATTATCATACGTTAGCTTTATTATTAATGGGATTTATTGATTTAATTCAATATTGTCTGAATTAATATGGTCTATATATATATATTAAATATATATAATATATATTTTTACTCAATATGGTCTGAATTGAATAAAATAAGGCTAAGGGCAATAAGTAAGGACTAAGTCTACACGACATATTGAATAAAATAAGGCTAAGGGCAATAAGTAAGGACTAAGTCTGCACGACATATTGAATAAAATAAGGCTAAGGGCAATAAGTAAGGACTAAGTCTACACGACATATTGAATAAAATAAGGCTAAGGGCAATAAGTAAGGGCTAAGTCTACACGACATATTGAATAAAATAAAGCTAAGGGTTAATAAGTAAGGACTAAGTCTATACGGCATATTGGATAAAATAAGGCTAAGGACCAATAAGTAAGGACTAAGTCTACACGTCATAACACCTAGCATCAACTAAGGCGTTATAAGGTGCGTGACAGCGTGAGCTTAGCGCTCCTTAGTTCACCCCTTAATAAGGCGACGTTGCCCTTGAATCACCATTTATGGGGGCAGTGTTTTTCTTGTTATTTTTTATCCTTTGTCCTTGGAAGTGAAATTTGTTATTGTAATTGTTGTTAGTAATACCGGTATTGGTAGTAACGGTATTGTCAGTAACGGTATTGACAGTAACGGTATTGACAGTAACGGTATTGACAGTAACGGTATTGGCAGTAACGGTATTTGCAGTAACGGTATTGGCAGTAACGGTATTGCACTAACGGTATTGGCAGTAACGGTATTGGCAGTAACGGTATTGGCAGTAACGGTATTGCAGTAACGGTATTGGCAGTAACGGTATTGGCAGTAACGGTATTGGTCATACATGCTGTATGAAATGGTCATACAGCGTGTATCGCGTGTTGCAGTTCTAACATCACCAATATTAAACTCTTCACGCGACTTAAGTTTTATAAATATGTACTCAAAACACCCAAAGTTCTAATTGACACAACACACCAAGTTTTATGTGTGTATAAACACGGATGTGCAAAAAACACCAAGTGTTGTGTAGCGAAAACACGCAAATAACTATGTGATGCAATAAGACATGCACAATAAAACGGTCCGTATTAATGGTGGGTTAAGGTCCCCCCCCCCGTGGCCCGAGGTCGGCCGCCGCTGGGGATGCCCTTGATGCCACGCCCGTATTTCAGGAGGCCTTAGCGGGCCTTAAGGGCAGCGGGCGAGTAAGTCTTTTTTATATTTAAAGCTTTTCTTTTAGTATAATCTAAATACTAAACAATTTTTTTATTATAATAAATTTTTTAGTATTTAAATTAGATTATAGGTACTAAAAATTAGTAAATAATCTAAAAGCCTAAACTTTTTTACTTTTTTTAATGTGGCTAAAATAAAAAACAAAAACACAAATGCATGATTTTCCGATAGTAAAAATTATTATTTGTCGTTCTCTTTGTATATAAATTCTCTATTAATATTCAATTTCTATAAAGTAATACAAATAAATGTGTTGTGTCCTACTGGTTGTAAGTGTTGGTATATAATAAAGTATTATTGTATTGTGTTCTACATTATACGCATAAGTAATATCTATGTAATGTGAACACTGTACTAAACAATATTCATTGTATTTCATTCACCGCATGTATGCGCGTTCATTTCCGCATACGCAATACCGCGTAAAATTACACGATGAATTTTGCACTTGGGTTTTTGTGTCCACGCATCACTGTGGTGCAATGATAGTGATGACAAGAGGCATCATTTCTTCGTGTGGTGTAATTAGAGTGATTACCATTGAATCATTTAATGCATTTTTACACAAATAACGTAGCGTTTTAAGTCATCGTTTTGAGAATTAGCGAATTTTCAAACAATATATAAGTTATTACATATATTATTTATATATATGTATATATACATATGATTTATATACATATAGTTATTACGAGAAGGTCATGCATGTTATATAGTATATAGCTTATATAGTTATTCATATATATACAATATATAAGTTTTTGACATATA